ATGCGCATTATGCAAATTAATGTTCAAAAAGTTGCATGATGCCCATCTCTAGGCCATCACATTTATATGTTTCGAATTTAATGAAATTGACTATTGTTTTGACCTAAGTGATATGATTTTTTTACTCTTTATGATAAAGAAGGTGCAATCCAAATCAAACTTAACTTTAATAGATTTTGGTTCTTGCGCAGCACAGCATGCACAATAATAATAATAATAAAAAAGAAAAAAGCTCCACATTGAACTTGTCAATTAAAAACATAATAGTTAATAGTGATCTTTATCACACTAACTAAAACCAAATCTCTTTCTGTTCACTTGGAAAAAAAGATATTATTATTTTGCATGATAAATGGTAAAAAATGTTTATCACATGGACAAGGCAACATAGATCATCAAGTGTATCAGGAAAATAAAAAAATTATTTTTTGAAATTTATTACCCAACAAAAACAAAAAATTCCTTCCCAAAAAATTAAGTTTGAAAAACAGTGATTTTTCACTAGCTGCTCATAGCACTCACTATCTTGCTGAGCTCTGCAGAGAGAAAGAAGAATTGCTATCACTATTAAAAAATGTGTTGAAAATTGTAGAACTTCAGATTTTCCAAAAAGAGGTTTTTTTTCTAAAAAAAGAATTCAAATCAGCAAATGATTATCGCTTCTAAAACACTCTAAACAAAAAAGGATAACGAAGCATAGTACCAATGCTAACTAATTTCTTTCTTGCACTAATAACTAATAACTAACTAAATAAATATTACATTACTATTAAAGTTAGTTGCAACACCGTGATACCATAATCTTACATTACGGGGTGCCAACTCTAAATTACATGTCAAGGCAGCATGACTGAAACAATTTAAATATGAAACATTTGATTTTACAGATGTTAAGGCACGCACACTACCTTGAACACATTACAGTCATTCTCACATGTTCCTTGTGTAGAACATTGTCAAATATTATTACTTTACCATTATCATATTTAATTCATTAAAATATAACATTTATGAAATGGTTTAAAATTTAAACACAATTACCTTGAAATAGAAACAGCATGAACATGAAGAATGAAAATGAAATATTTAATAATAATAATGAGTTGTTTTTGCTATTTTTAATTCTTGTTCTATGCATAAATAAATGCCTTCAAGACCTCTTTCAAATTCAAATTCTAATAATTCTCACTTAGTTTTAATAAATAACTTCATTAATACTGGATCTGACTTCCTATTGCCTAGGTATATCCAGATCAGTCAACAATATCTATGATGCAGTTCAAATTGTTAAATTAAGACTTAATAGACTTTGTTTGGCATATCTGCTTTTTCTGAAATGTTAAATTTAAATATATATATTTTTTTAATTATTTTCAAGAGGAATAGCCTCATATAAAGTTAATTTGGAAGTTATTTTGTGAATTATTATATTTACTTTATTCTAATAAAATTGTATGAACAAGATATTATTATTGTTAAAGCCACATTTGTGATTGTTGATTTTTCTTTTATTTCATATAATGAATGATGTTGGTAGAAATATCATTTGTGGAATAACATCACTCTGATGAGAATCCTTTATTAATAGAATTCAACATATTGATGTTGTATATTTTCTGATAGATTAATAGTAAAATGTACAACTTGATTACATAGGATGATCAACATCCAACTGTGTTTGATTTCACAGTCCTGAGGAACTTTCTTCAGAGTATAGACTAACTCTTGAGGAGAGCATCAAATATAAAGTGGTTCTTCAAACTTAAAAGTATTACTGCAGCTCTAATCACCCATATGTGGCATGCTGATGACAAACTTATTACAAGAGTTGGCTTTTTTTCATACATGAACTGTCACACATTCTGTTAATTGATGTTTCCCCATTTTAAATAAAAATATTAATATTAATTGATGGAGTAATTGTAATTCAATTGATTTAATAATAACAATTATAATAATAATATAACAAGGAACAATTAAATTTGTTATAATTTAGAATTTTTAGAATTATCTTGAGCATTAGGATTAGGATTAATCCAAATTTTAGCAGGCCTAATTATAAAAAAAGGTATTGAATGAATTGATAAAGTATTTATTTGTTTATTTAAAACAACTCATTTTCATTCATAAATTACCTTATAATTTCAGAAACAGTAAAGCTTTTATTTTTACTTAATCTTCTACAAGCCTCTATTCTTACCACGTCTCCTAATTTACATTTTTCTTCTTCATCATGTGCAAAAAATTTTTTGTGTTTTGTAATAATCTTTTGATGAAAAAAATTTTATAAATAGAAAATTTATTTTTATTTATTTATTTAATAATGATAATAATAATGACCTTTCTGACTATTGGATGGGTAGCTTGTCTTGCCACATTCACTTTAACAGTCTTACGCATTGCTGTTCCTATCACTATACCAACAAAATTTTGACGGGCCATTATTTTATTTTTTTATAATAGAACAATCGTGTGTACATTCGATGTAATACAAAAACTTTTTGAAAAATATAAATATAATAAAAATGGATTTAAGTAATAATGATGATGATGGAAAAGTTTTAGACGAAACTTCTAATGCTGCCACAATTACAATCGATGATGATGATGACAATAATAAACCCTCTAATAATAATAACGAAATTGAAAAGAATGAAAATGAAAATGAAAATGAAAAAAATGAAAATGAAAATGAAAATGAAAATGAAAATGAAAATGAAAATGAAAATGAAAATGAAAAAAATGAAAATGAAAATGAAAATGAAAATAAATTTGCCAAAGGACTTATGAATTTATTTAAACCGTTAATTGAAGAAATGGATTCAAGAGTTGTTGCAGTGAAATCTAGTCAAATCGAATTAAATAAAGAAATTGAGCGGTTAACTGCAGGTTTGGCATTAAGAATAATTACTGACTGCAAGTCAATTTATATATTTTTAGCATAATATTAATCAAACTGTTCATTCATGTTGTCCAGAACTTCAATTGTTTGTTGAAGCAACAAAACCACCACAAATCCAAACTTCTATTCAAAAATTAATTGATGCAAGAAAACGTTTACTTATTACAAACCAAACTCTGAAATTAGTTCATCATCGTATTATTAAAATGCATACACAACTTAGCAAAGAGAAATCATAAATTCTTTAAGTATAAAAATTTATTTATTTAACCTATTTATTTAAAATGCAAACAACATCATCAAAAAAATCATTAATTTCAATCAAATATTCACATCTTCAATTCTAACATTATTCAAATACAATCTACCTGATTTTATTACTTTGTATGACTCACTACATGACTTACATACGCCTGATAATACCAACAACTTATCTATTGTACTGTTTATCACTGAGGTTTTTGATAGTTTAATTAGTTGATTCTTGTTATTTTCAAATGTTGATAATAATAATTGAAAATTTATTATTTCTGGAGAATTAAATAAAATTTTTGTTGATAATTTTGCCTCATTTAAACCTGATTCTTTTTTAAAATTAAAAAATGTCAATAATAACAATACTAATAATTTATTTCAATCTAAATAACACCTACTTCCATGTACCAATTCTGTTACTTCAGATGCTAATATTTCTTGTCCATAATGAGATTCTGGTGATTGCTATATTAAAGTAGATATATATTTATATAAAATAGTATAAATAAATTTATACAAATATCCAGATATATATGTATAGACTTTTCAATGGAAATGAACCATACTCCCAAAACACAGTTTTGAGTTAGATCACCATTATATGTGTAGGAATTTTTTGGCTTAGAAACCATGCATACTCACTTTGTATGATGATATTTTCAAAATCAATAACAAAAAAATTGCTAATTTTTCTCAAAAATCTATTTTGTAAATCATGGTTCATTTTTACTGAAAATCATTTATATGTATATTTACCATATGTTTTTCTATAATTTTTTTAATTTCTGTCCAATCCAAAAGTGTAAACATTTGAAGATATTTTTTTAAATCTAGATCAGTTACTTTCATAAAATACTGTTTTAAAAAAATATGTGAACACAAATATTAATTATCCATAATAAATATAATAATAGTGATGATGATGATGATGATGATGATACCTGATAAAATTCATAAGGAGTTGTCAATTCATCATCTAACCAAATTGCATTACTAGCTGATTTACCAAAATTTTCACCAGATGAAGTTGTTAACAAAGGCATTGTTAAACCAAAAGCAGTTTATTGTTTATCAACATCAACATCAACATCATTAATATTCTTGGATCTCTTTTTATTAATTAAATCTATCCCTGATGTAATATTTCCCCACTGATCACTTCCTCCCAACTTTTATAAACATACAAGTAAATATATGTAATTTCAATAACAAAAAAAAATATTTATATTGTATTTATGTTATTTTACCTGAATAGTGCAATTGTGTTTATGATAAAGATACCAAAAATCATAAGCTTGTAATATTTGATACAAAAATTCTGTAAAACTTATTCCTCCTTCATTTTCTATTCTATTTTTAATGCTTTATTTAATTAATTATTGATGATGAATTATTAATTGATTAATTGACTAATATGAAATATTATATGGGCATGCTGCAACAAAACCAGAAAAAATGAACATTGGTATTACCAAGAATTTCAGGGATCAAAATTTGTAATGTGATTATTAAAATCTTCCATTTGTTTTGTTATCTTTGTTTTTCCTTAATATTAAGTGATATATAGAATTGCCCCTATATAAAAATAGTTAATATTAAGTTGATTTACATTAGGTCTACCATGGAACCCAAGAATTATATTATAGTACTTTATTAATAACAAAAGATAATGATTAAAAAGTGTGTCATCTTTTACATCAATGTATTTAATCATCAAAAGATTGTTTATTATTTATTTTATTTATTTGTTATTACATGTTTGATGTATGCTCTACAATATTAATAATATTTTTAAATAAATATTTTGAGTATTTAAATTACATGAAATTGATGTTAGTTGACAAAATTTGACAAAATAAATATTTGGAAATTTTAAAAAAAACTAGAGTATGCGAATATGCTGGTCATCAGGATTTTTTTTTTCTAATTTTATTTTTTTTTTCTAGTTAAAAAATTTGGCAAGATTTTAAAATTTAATAAATAATAAATAATTGTTTTAATATACTAATATTACATTATTAATATTGTCTATAATGGTAAAGGAATTGATATTTTTCTTTTAGGCAATTGTATTCTTGGATGATTGATTGATCTGTTATAATTGCATTTTTATCAAATGAAATAATTTGAAGGTTTTCCCAAGAAGTACATCTGCTTAGTGCAACATATGCTTGACCTGGGGAAAATATTTCAGAATCTAGTGTAATTGAAATTGATTAAAGGCTTATACTTTGTGTTTTGTGAGGGCAAAAGCATTTTGTAAGGGAAATTATGTCCTGGAAGCAAATGAACCATTTAGATAAAATTTTGAAGTATATTTTGATATTTTTAAATCTATAATTCCGCCATTTATACAAAAAACAATTCTGACTAAATCTTGAGTATGATCTATATCTGCAATTACACCAAAAGTTCCATTACAAATTCCTTTTCCAACCATATTATTATTAAGGTACATTACACATGCACCTTGTTATAGAATAAAATTATGTGTAATGTATCATTCTTTTTGTTTTTCTTTAGATCTTGAACTTTTTTTATTTACATTAATTATTTCATTTGATGCTAAGTCAGAAAGTTTGATTTTTTTTTTTTGCATTTGACGATTGTACTTGTTGTTTAACAGATTGATTAGTTGGTTGACTGGGAAGTTCAGTACTTTGTTGGAGTTCAAGTTCTTGTTGAAATTGTTGTTGTGATTTCTGTTGAGGTTTAGATTGTTGAAATTCAGGTTCCTGCTGGAATTGTTGAGGTTGTTGTTGAAGTGAAGGTTGATTGTTTGTTTGATTAGTCAATTGAAGTTGTTGTTGAGTAGGTTGGTTATTAGGTAATTGATTTTGATGATTATTTTGATTAGGTAATTGTATTTGTTGTTGATTTTCTTCTTGAAGAAAAAATTCTTTAGCCAAGTTTTTTCTTTGTGGCTGATGAGAAGATGAAGATGTTGATTGAAGTTAATGTTATTAAGTTCCACAATCATATTTCTGTTAATCACAGATAAATGACCAGATATAAACAATCTAGATACATTCTTGCAACTTTTGGTAATGCTTGATAATCTTGATTCAAATGGATGGAAAATAACAATTTTAAATTGTTTATTTATTTGTTTGCTATTTTTATCTTGTCCAACATTCTCTATCATTGCAATTTCAACACTAGTTCCTTTGGTGTTAATTTTTGGTTCAATAGTAGAAAATCCCACCATGCTCACAGATAAACCTACCATGGCAAACTGTTGGCTTTATTAAATCACTTAATTTATATGCATTAGTAATAGTCACCTATGAATATATTGATGTATATTTAATATTAATTAATACTAACAATAACAATAATTTAAATATATATGTTAATAAAAAAATATTTTTATTTGCACTTAAAATGTTCTCATCATTCATATAAAATTTGCTATTGTTAATATCTGGAACATATCTTTTAATTGATTCATCTAATGGGTGATATATTGTGTATAGATATTTAATCACATCTCCTCCATCTTCATTTCTTGAGATTGCATTTCCTGTAGTTATTTTAAATTTGGTTGTGAAGTTCTGAACACAGTTTTAAATTAGTAAGATAGTTGTAAGTAGACCTGGCATTTTTGTGTAATATTATTATATTGAATCGATTGATATTTTTTTCATATAACTTTTTATTATTATATATTTATATTGATATGTAAAAATTTTTTTTTGTTTATGTTTTTTTCGTATAACTTTATTATTATTATATTTATATTGGATATGTAAAAACATTTTTTTTTTTTGTGATTATTTTCGTTTTATATTTTTATATTTGAAATATGTAAAAAACAATTTTTTTTATTATAAATACATATGATTATTTTCGATTTTCGTTTTGACTATTTTCTATAATAATAATTATTAATGTTATTATCAGTCGTAGGCAGTGTTGGAAATTCGTCGATCTTATGATCTGCAAAAAAAAATTTGTGCACATATGAACACAAGAAATTTTTATTT